GTAAAGGAAAGGTAGAACGACATAAGACCGGACTTGTTGCCAAAGAGTTCACTCAAAAAAAAGGCATTGATTACAATGAGACTTTCTCACCTGTTTCTAAGAAAGACTCTTTGAGGATAATTATGGCAATGGTGGCTCATTTTGACTTGGAGCTTCACCAGATGGATGTGAGAACAACTTTTCTCAATGGAGGTCTGGAAGAAGAGGTGTACATGAAACAACCTGAGGGTTTTGTTTCAGAGGGATAGAGTAATATGGTTTGCAAGCTAAATAAGTCTATATATGGACTTAAGCAATCTTCCCGCCAATGGTATCTTAAGTTTAACGATGTGATTTCTTCGTTTGGTTTCATAGAAAATGTCGTTGATCGTTGTATATACCTTAAGATCAGTGGGAGTCGATTCATTTTTCTAGTCCTATATGTAGACGATATTTTGCTCGCTAGTAGTGATTTGACATTGCTTATTGAGACTAAGCATTTTCTCTCTAGTCATTTTGAAATGAAGGATATGGATGAGGCCTCGTATGTCATAGGCATAGAGGTTCACAGGGATAGATCTAGAGAAAAACTTTATCTATTTCAAAGGACCTACATTAAGAAAATGTTGGAGAGGTATGGTATGGAAAACTCCAAACCAAGCCCTGCACTTATGTCTAAAGGTGACAGATTAAGTAAGTCTCAATCTCCGAGAAATGAGCTTGATAGGGAGCAGATGAGAGCATATCCTTATGCATCATTGGTTGAGACTTTAATGTATGCCCAAATTTGTACCAGACCCGACATTGCATTTGTAGTTGGTGTATTGGGCAGATTCCAGAGTAACCCAGGTTTGGATCACTGGAGAGTTGCAAAAGAAGGTGCTTAGATATCTGCAAGGAACACAAGATTATATGCTTACATATAGCAGATCTGATTTTCTAGAGGTTGTCGGATATACAGATTCTGATTTTGCAGGATCCCCAGATAGCAAGCAATCAACATCAGGATATATATTTTTGCTTGCTAATGGTGCAGTCTCTTGGAGAAGTACTAAACAGAAATTGACAACAGCTTCTACTATGGAAGCTGAGTTAGTTGCATGCTATGAGGCGATTACATAGGCAATTTAGTTGAGGAATTTTACCATTGGGCTTAAAGGTTGTTGATTCTATTTCGAGGCCTATAAAGATGTTTTGTGATAATGTAGGGGTCGTTTCCTCAATAAACAATGACAAGGTATCTAATGGTAACAAGCACATGGATATTAAATACCTTGTCATAAAGGATAAATGTGATAAAAATAAGGTGTAAGTTAAGTATATCAGCACTGTGCTTATGGTGACAGACCCAATGACCAAAGCTATAGCTCCAGGATTGTACAAAGATCATGTGGATCATATGGGTCTAGTGAACAATGTTATTGCTTGATGTACTAAATGTGCACATTTGGAGACACCATCAATTTATTGTATCACATTATTAAATTATTCTGCTTATTATATTTTTGTGGAACGAATATGTTCTTAGCAGAAAATTTTGACCAACAAATGGATTTTATGGGAAATCCATTCATAAAGAAAATTAGCCTAAAGTCTTGTTTATGAGAGTTTAGTGATATTGTGATCATGGAAGGATGTATGCAATTTATTGGTGTATATTCGCCATGGTTCATATTACTAGGCTCAAGTAATCAAGAATAAAGTTAAACTCACTTATGTTGGGATAATTTGATAAAGATCGTGCATAATTTTACCGAACCCAAGTATTTGCTTATTTTCAAAATATAAGTATTACTATTATTATTTTCTTTCAATTTCTTTGTCAATTCGGTCCAAGTGGGAGAATGTTGGAACCTATTTAATGGGACCCACATGTGGACCTTAATTAACAAGGTACAGACTTGAGTTTTGGGGTAAGGATATCCGAATTAAATTACCTAACACATGTTGATTAGGTTAGTGAGTAGTTTATTTGTGAAAGGGGTAATTTTAGGTACAAGGAAACATGTTTTAAAAAATAGTCAGTTTCCTAAAAGTTACTTTGATAAGAGGGAACGGTTCCTGATTATTTTAACGTGAGACAGTTGGTTACCAGTGAGGGGGATATAAATTACTTGAGAGACTCCATCTTTTATTCACCCTTATAATATCTCTCACTCTTTGAAAAAATCTATCTGCAATCTATTTGGGAATCAAGTTCGTAATTATATTCGGTATTCTTGCTATTCTTCTCGTGGAGATTTTCGCATCAAAAATCATTGTTATGGATCCTATGAGTCAAGGGTAGTTTCTAATCGATCTAAGACCATTAGGTCTATCAATAATTACCTACAATATACTATTTGGGAAAATAATAGAAAACCCGAAATGGGTAATTGTTATCTTTGATAAAGGGATGCCCCAGACTCTATTCCAAAATATCCATTCTGACTCACTTGACCACAGAACATTACGAGACAGAGAGAGATAGAGAGATAGAGAGACAGAAAGACCTCAGGTCCACCGAGTTCATGAATCCTAATAGCTTTGACCATTGTAGCTGCTGCTGCTGATGATGCAGAGAGTGCTCTCACTGCTAGTTTGGTTGTCACCCTTGATTGTGTTGGGACAATTATGCTCTTCTTGTCTGTATGACTATTGTAGTTGTTAATCTATGTTTGTAATGGAAGAACTAGTGAGCTTGGGTGGTAAAGGTTTGAGACAAACGATCTTAGCAGAAGACGGTAGTGACGATGGTGATGATGCAATGTTGATCCCGATAGTAGGACCATTTGACAATTGAACCCCTTTTTGCCCTTCTTCCCTTGCTAATTGAATTGGGATGGAAGTCGAGCAATGTGAGGAATCGCGAGGAGGAATTAAGGGAAAATGACACCCAAATTAACTGAGAGACACTTTAATATTTAAAATATTATACATAGATTTCTTAAAATCGTCAATATTCGTTAAGTGTAAAACATTTAGATTTTTTAAATTTAAAATATTATATTTAGATTCTTTATTAATAATAAAATTAACAAAATTTATTAAATATAGTTTATATCTTTAAGTCACTTATTATTAACTTAAGCATCGAAGAATTGATCCCCTAAAGCTCCCCTCTAATCTTCAACTTTTCTTTTAGATGATCGAAGCTCAACGAATTAATGTTGATGCCGTCTAAATTTTAGCATCAACAATACTAATTATGATATTTTTAAATAAAAAATTAATTTTTGATTTTTAATTTTATTTTAATAAATGACATAATAGAACATGAATTTTAGTTGTAAAATTTAAAATATTTGATATTCTATCTGTAATTAGAGTTTTTTTAATTTAAGTGTAATATTTTAAACTTGAGAAATCTGATATTACACGCTTCAAATTTTAAGAGTTTAGATATAATTTATTAATGGATATACTAACAGACATTAATGATTGCGGCATTTGTGTATGCACTTACAAATATCAGGATTTTGTGTGTAATATTTTAAATATTAGTGAGTCTATATGATTAACTGATAAACTTTAGAAGTTTTAAATGTAATTTTTCCTAAATTATTGGGTGTGTTTGAATGGCGGGTTAAAAAGGCACAACATCAGTAAGATAGGACAAAAAAATACATAGGCTCATTTATCCTGTGTTTGGATTTATCCTAATTCGATTTAAAAAATCAATTTTAACCTATCTATGTGAGTTAAATGAAACCCAAAGAACACTGAGATATTTTTTACACCGACCGAAGCAGTGATTAAAATGACATATTTGCCCAAAGCCATAAGTCATCGGGCTTACTCTTACCCTCGAACAATGTCTCTTTCAATCCATGTATAGCTGGGTATTTACATTTATATTACTCTCCCATGTTCTCAAATTTGTGTTGAAATTTCTTTCTTTCTGTTTCACTTGTAACTTTCAGGATTAAAAGAGAATTTTTCTTAAAAATATATTATTTGATGGTTTTTCTTCTATCTAGATAAATTATGCACACGAGACTTATAATATTTATAAGAAAATTTTCAAAAAATTTCTTGTTGTTCAACGAGACAGTTCATTGTGCTCATCTAATTTAAAACCCAAAAAGCCTTGAACAGGGATACGAAGAAAGATATTGAGGGAATTTATTGGGGCTTTGTTTGGATTTCTTGTGAATTGGAAAACCCATAAACGAATTGGCCTTCTAGTTATGTGTTTCACCATGGACAACCCATACATATTTAAAAAAAAATTGTTTGGAATTGGTTAGAGGTTAATTTATAAACCAGACGTGATACGGGATTGGATAAACTAAGGACATAATAGTCAATGGAACTATATTACGAATACATGATGATTTATCTATTCTTAAGTGCTTTAGCATCTAATCCAATTTCAAGAATTGCTCCCCATCATACTGGGTAGGGTATAGCTTGGACATATCAATTCAAATCTAAGCTTAACTCAAAATATTCAATGGTCAGGGTAAAAAAATTGTATTATTGTTGAACTTAGGTAAAAAAATCCCAACTCTATGTTTATCCAATCACTAAAGATTAAGGTCCTCAATTCTAAGAACCCAACCTCAACATGGTGAATTCAAATTGTTTATGAATTCTAATCTAAGTCATGTAAACCAACGATAAAATTTGAATTCAACTACATAAAATCCAGAAGTAAACTTACATTTCATGTTATGTAATTATAGATTCAAATCCTTATTGAATCATATTTTCAATGTCTTCACTTGCCATGAACATATTTTCATTCAAGGAAAGAGACAGAAACTCTATGAATTTACTAGAGATGTACAGATCTGGAGAAAATCATGCATCCAGTGAAGAAACAAACCCACATCCATGACAAGCCAATTAAAAGAAAAAAAATGTAACAATCAACAAGATTTTTATTTCTTTTGCACAACGGCTTTCACACACTAGGGTGGTACATTTCACACACTGGGTACAGACCAAATTCAGCCTGCACTCATTAGAATGTTTGTGCTATCCAACTGTCCCAACTCCTACGACAGAGGAAACAAGACTAGTTGGGGATTATGAACTTACTGGTCAACACCATCTGGTATCAGGACAACAGATCCCGATGTTTTCCGATCCTCAAGATCAGCATGTGCCTGTGCAGCTTGAGATAAGGGGTAGGTACGATTTACACGGATCCGTAAGACCGCTGATGTGATGCAAGCAAATAGCTCTCCAGCAGTTTCAAGCAGCTCTTCCCGTGTTAGATTGTAGTGCATGAGGTGGGACCTTGACAAGAACAGCGATTTTGCTGCAAGTGCTGACAATGGCAGTGTGTCTGGTGTACCGGAGGACTGCCCCAAACTTACCATGTATCCGCGGATTTTTAAGCATGCCAAAGAACCCTGAGCATGACAGCATCCCAATTAGAAACTATATTAAATGCAACTGGGGGCACCATGAACCAAATTAGACTGACCAATCTCATCCTTGCGGATAAATAAAAACTGCGGATGTAAGGTCTATGGGTGCCTATGCTAATTTGTGCATATTGGTTTCAGTCGGTCCTTAAAGTTGATGTCCAACTGGGATAATGCTAGACCTTTTTGTAAACATGGCTCAAATTAACTTCCAGAACCTCAAATATATAAAACGTGACAGAAAAAACAAACTTACATAGTGACGATATCATCATACTATAACTCATCCTCACATTTAGTTACTACCTTTGTATTTTCTGCATGACTGGAATTTTAATGGTTAAATATATACATACATATATATATATGATCATAAGAATAGAGGTGCATCACCTGAAAGGTGTCTTTTCCAATGGAATCATAGACAACATCAACTCCCTTGCCTGATGTTATCTCATTGACACGGGTAACAAAATCCTCTTCCTTGTACATTATGACATGATGACATCCATCATCTTTGGCTTGATCTGCCTTTTCTTTGGTTGAGACGGTTCCAATGACAGTGGCACCAAGGGCATTTGCCCACTGGCACAACAGAGACCCAACTCCACCTGCTGCTGCATGAACAAGAACTGTGTGTCCAGTTTCAACCTGTCATACTATGCAACTCAGTCATATCTTTAAAGAAAATAAAAACTAAATCTCGGATCAATTCATGTTCAAACGCAACAGTACAAATGGATGAGGTTTCTGCCACTAGGATGATCAAAATTTTATCTTGTTCTATTGTACAACCATAGTTATATGATAATTCCTATAACAGATGGGGATAGAGACATACATAACCACATTATTCTCAGATCAGTCTTCAATGGCTGATTGAACTTCAGCAAAAGAGTTTTACGTGAATCAGCATCTCTCTCTGTTTTCGCAAGGAGGGTTGTTTCATACATAGATACAGTTCTGATGGATAATCAAATAATTTGATGCTTTGTCAGGGGTTTCTAGCTTAAGGAAAGTCTTTTCTGGAATTCACATTTCCTCCAATTGAAAAAGGGGGATTACAAGTGGACCAAATAGGGCACCATTAGAAGTCCTTACTTTTAGCGGCTCATTATGCCTGTAGTTTTTGATACCATGCTCAATAATCTGAACAGTTGGAACAATGCACCTTCTCCCTTTCCCCTTCCTCCATCCCAGAAAAAAAAAAAAAAACAAATCCTTGAACCCCCGACCTACGGCCTTAGATTTCACGCCCAAATGACCAAGGCAGGACAACCAGTCAAACAGTTAATATAAGAAATTGATCGATGAAGGCTAATAATAATCATTATGACAATTATACAAATAGCACATGCACAATGGCAGAAGCTATGAAGCATCGAGAAGGTGATGTATCCATGTCGGATACATGTCAGACATCAACACTCTTCGGACATTCTCTGACACGATACTCTTTTATCTATATCCGTAATTAAATAATTTTTTTTTAATTTTGGACAAGTGTCCAACACTTCTTTGGTGACATGTCCTACACTTTTTTAGAAATTGTCTACTACTAAACAATAAATATGTGTTGAAATACGATTAACAAAGTTTAGAATTTTGAAAACATATAATTAATAATACTAGACATGTTAAAATTGTACTCCAAATATAATAATAAAAATAAAAGATGCATAAAAGTTTTAAAAAAAGAGAAATTGATAAAATGAGAGAAATTATTTAATTATATATTAGATACACATTGTCTACAAAAAGAATTGATGATTATTAACTATTATGATGATACTTTAGTCTAAAAACTACGCATAAGATTTATTTATCATAAAATACATAATCTTTTATGAATTGCATATTATTATCACTATATTTGAGATAAATTATATAATATTATATATAATTTATAATTTTTTGTAACGTATCCTCAACGCGTCGGTGTTTTACTTTTTTGAGAAATGTCATGTTTGCGTGTCCTTGTCATGTCGTGTCATATTTATGTCCCATGTCCGTGTCCATGCTTCTTAGGGTCGAAGTAATGTGTACGCTAGTCTTGTACAAGCAATAAGGTCATGCTTTGGATGATGATACTGCAAAAATGCTGCAAATAAAATGTTTCTAAACACTTGATGTAACGTTGCTCAATTCGTGTATATTACCTGACATAAATCAAAATGGCACAACCGTCTTGACAAAAGTACTACTAGTTCAGTTATTATCCAAATTCCATGCATATTTCATGACTTTCTAACACTGAAATTTTTGAATGGTACTATGTAATAAAACCAAAAAGATGGCCTTATTTAAATCCATTTTACAATGTATTCTAAGTTCAAATGATTTTTATACTCAAAACCGCACTCTCCACCATCATTTTTGTCTTTCAAGGGCTGAAAACTAAAACAACCAAAAATTCTAGTAGAATCCAGAAGGTGTTCAGTAAACACGCAACATACCTTGAAACACCGACGAACTAGATATTGAGTAGTCATTCCTTTGAGAATGACAGCTGCAACTACAACAGGATCCAAAGTGGAAGGAACAGGCACCACTTTTTCTGCCGGAAGGATCTGCTCTTCAGCATATGAACCCATTGGGTTACCAGCATAAGCGACTAGATCTCCAAATTTCATGCCCGTTAGTCCAGGACCCAGGGAAGTCACCACACCAACTGCTTCCATACCTGAACTTAACATGTTTTGCAAGCTTAGTTCTCAACAAAACCCCAATTCTGGATTCACATGACATTTTCATTTATAGCCCCTAATAAGAGACTCATTTAAGTCTGACAAAAATATGCAAGGCAGCCTGACAAAAACATACTTCCCCTGAAGCACAATAGTGATCCTCCCAAAATAAAAAATTTCCACAAAACAAAGCAAAACGATAATAATTGTTAATCGCATTTTGGCAGGAAATGAGACTAAAGGACATGAGGCTATATAGTTGACGGAGAGGCAATGTATCATATAGCAAAAATGGAACAGGACAAACTTTCTTATCCAACCTATCTATCTTTTCTTGTTTTTCATCAATGGAAAAGCACTTTGACAAGAGGATGAATATAAACAAATTGGATCAAGCAGGAACACTTGCTTTGTCTTCCTAATCAAGAAACTCTATACCAAAAAAGTGCACACCCAACGTGAACAGAAGGTTTGAGATGATTCAATATTTGAAGTTTTGTTTATTTCTTGGCTCAGTTGCGGCCATTAAAAACTCAACAGATTTTTGGTTTCTTGGGTCAGTTGTGGCCATTGAAAATTGAAAAGATTTTTGGTTACTTAGGTCAGTTGAGGCTGTCTGATTTTGGAAAGTATTCAAGGGCCGAAGTCCAAACATGATAAACCTGCTTTCTTGGACGGATTCCATCTCTAAGGATGCAAGTGAAGAATCATCCGCAAGAAGCATTTCTACACAGTATAATTATTAGAAGAAATCCCTGAAAATAGAATCTTTCGCCTTTTTCTCTTTTTCTATCTTAAAAAAAAATGTTGCATTACCAATCACAAAATATTTTTGGCTGAAGTTGAACCCATCTTTCATTGGAAGAAATTTTCAGCAGAGTAATAGAAGAAACAGAAAGAACCTGGTGTAAAAGGTATTGTGGCAGCCTTGTAAACTCCTTTGCGAAAGTGTACATCGATGAAGTTAAGCCCAATGGCCTTATTCTTCACTCTGATCTCTCCTTCCTTTGGCTCTCCTATTTCCACTTCCTCCCATTTCAGAACCTGAATCAATTTTTAGTAAGTAAAAATGTCGCCCAACCCCCACCCCCCTAGGAAGGGTGCGTGGGTGGGCGTGGGAAAACTCCCTGCCACAACACCTAAACAAATTGCGTTGTACTTACTACAAAACTGAATTTGTTACGTTACCAATAAAAAAAAAAAAAAAAAATTTAAGTGACCAGAAATGAAATGGAATTTTCTCGTACAAGGGTCTAAAATCATGCAAAGGTACCATTCAACCAGGATTATCCGATGATAAAATCGTGTATAGTATTTCAAACGATGATAAAATCGTGTATAGTATCTCAAACAAACAGGATAATGCTCTGATGATGATAAACAGGATTGCAATCGTTTATCCCTAAGTAGAAATAGCAGACACAAAGCCCAATCGAGAATCACCCAAAATCCAAAATTTCATATACAGGAACATGAGAATCACATAATCGAGAATCAACAATAAGTTCACGTAGAATCTCACATTCCAATAGCTAATCATAGACATCACTACATACATGAAAACCCGATTGAAGCATAGCCTAAAGAACACATTATTGGATTCCAAAACAACTTTTTGGGCTTTAAAAATTAATACTCAGAAGACGTTATAATTGAAACTGGACAAATAATTACTTACAATATTCTACTTGGTAAAAGAATAGAAAACCCGAAATGGGTAATTGATATCTTTGATAAAGGGGTGCCCCAAACTCCATTCTAAAATATTGATTCTTACCTATGAAGCATGAATACTTCAAAAGAGTCAAAATATCTGTATCAGATATTTTTGGATACGGATACACGTCGGATACGTCCGAGAAGTATCCTAAAATTTAAAAAAAAAATTAGTTTTCGGATACGGCCGAATACATTTTGGATACACGTGAGATACGCCTAGGATACGCATAAGGATACGACGGGGTATTACTCAAATTTTTAAAAAATATAGGGACACAAGAACAATATATTTAGGCCCTTATTTGCAAAAAAAAAAATATTATTAAACTAAAAGACTAAAACCTGTATACTTTTCTTCCACAGTCCGTCAAGCCCCCCACTCTCTTCAGTCGATACTCGAAGACGATCGTCTCTCTCTCTCTCACTCTCGCTCATTCACACTGACGATCGACTAACTTTGATGGTTAGTTATTATTATATATCTTTGATAGAAGTGTGATTTATTTTATAAATCGTAATTATTACATTAAATATAATAATAAAATTTTAAAAAATATATATTTTATGAACGTATCCTAACTGTACCCGTATCCTATTTTTTTTTGATTTTGTCGTATCCCCGTACCCGTATATATCGTATCCGTATCCGTGCTTCGTAGATTTTTACTCACTTGACCGCAAAACATTACGCGAGAGAGAGAGAGAGAGAGAGAGAGAGAGAGAGACCTCAGGTCCACCAAGTTCATGAACCCTAATAGCTTTGACCATTGTAGCTGCTGCTGGTAGAAAGTGCTCCCACTGCTAGTTTGGTTGTCACTCTTGATAGTGTTGGGACAATTATGCTCTTCTTGTATGTGTAACTATCGTTGTTGTTCATTAGTGTTTGTAAGGGAAGAAATGGTGAGCTTGGGTGGTAAGGGCCCAAGACAAACGAACTTTTGTAGAAGACGGTAGTGATGATGTAATGTTGATCCCGATAGGAGGACCATTAGACAATTCAACTTGAATCCTTTTTGTCCTTTTTCCCTTGATAATTGATTTGGAACAGAAATCGAGCAATGTGAGGATCCGTAAGGAGTAAATTATAAAGAATAAATTATACACAGCTCTCAAATTATGTGTCAATTAAGCCATTTATTCATTTTTAGTAGCAATTGAACCTTTAAAATTTTAATTTGTATCCGTTAAAATATCTCACCCACGTGATTATGTTGCCGTCCACAACACATGGATTTTCTTTCAAAAAAACTGACTTCTCTCTAGCGATTTACTACAATGACCTACACTGGCTTAGTCTCACCATGAATCTGACCTGTATACAGATCTGGTCAAAACCATGCATATAGTGAAGAAGCATAACCACATCCATGAGACGCAAATCAAAAGGAAAAAACGTACACAATCTAAAAGATTTTATTTCTTTTGCACAACAGCTTTCAGGTCAGACCTTGTATGAAATTACATCAACACTAGGGTGGTACATTTCTCACTTTGGGGACAGACCAAATTGAGCATGCACTTATTGGAATGTTTGTGCTATCCGACTGTCCCAACTCCTACAACAGAGGAAACAAGACTAGTTGGGACAATGAACTTTACTGTTCAACACCATCTGGTATCAGGACAACAGATCCCAATGTTTTCCGACCCTCAAGATCAGCATAAGGGGTAGGTGCCATTTACACGGACTCGTAAGACCCCTGATGTGACACCAGCAAATAGCTCTCCAGCAGTTTCAAGCAGCTCCTCCCGTGTTAGACTGTAGTGCATGAGGGCGGGCCTTGTCAAGAACAGCGATTTCGCATCAAGTGCTGATGGTAGTGATTCTGGCATACCGGAGGAATGCCCAAAACTTACCATGTATCCGCGGGTTTTTAAGCATGCCAAAGAACCCTGAACATGGCAGCATCCCAATTAGAAACTAGTAGAGAAAATATAAAAATGCAACAGGGTCCGCATGAACCAAATTAGACTAACCAATCTCATCCTTGTGGACTAAGACAGACTGCAGATGTAAAACATATGTGACTATGCTAGTTTGTGCATATTGGGTTCGTTTGGTCCTTAAAGTTGATGTCCATTGGGAAAATCCAAGACCCTTTTGTAAACTAGGCTCAAATTAACATCCCAAAACCTGAAACATATATATCAAGTGACAGAAGGAACAAACTTACATATTGACGATATCATCATAATATACTCATGCTAACATTTAGTTACTACCTCTGTCTTTTCTGCATGACTGGGATTTTAATGGGTGTATATATATGATCATAAGAATAGATTTGCAGCACCTGGACTGTGTCTTTTTCCAACTGAATCATAGACAACATCAACTCTTTTGCCTGATGTTATCTCATTGACACGGGTAACAAAATCTTCTTCCTTGTACATTATGACAAGATGACATCCATCATCTTTGGCTTGATCTGCCTTTTCTTTGGTTGAGACGGTTCCAATTACAGTGGCACCAAGGGCAATTGCCCACTGGCACAACAGAGACCCAACTACACCTGCTGCTGCATGAACAAGAATTGTGTGTCCAGGTTCAACCTGACATACTATTCAACTCAGTCATATATTTAAATTTAAAGAAAAACAAAATCCTTGATCCCCTGACCTACGGCTTGAGATCTCAGGCCCAAGGACCAAGGTAGGACAGCCAGTTGAAGAGTTAAATTAAGAAATTGATTGAGGGAGGCTAATAATGACCATGATGGCGATCATACAAATAGCATATGAATAATGGCATAAGTATTGTGTACAATGTACAAGCAATAAGGTCATGCTTTGGACGATGATACTGCAAAAATGCTGCAAATAAAACACTAGATGTGATGTTGCTGCAATTCGTGTATGAATACCTTAGTATTAACTGACATAAATCAAAATGGCACAAACAATCTTCTTCACAAAAGTACTACTAGTTCAATCATTATCCAAACTCCGTGCGTATCTCATGACTTTCTAACACCGAAACTTCTGAATTGTAAAATGCAATAAAACCAAAAAACCAAAAAAGATAGCCTTACTTAAATCCATTTTACACAGTATTCAAATTCAAATGATTTTTATACTCAAAACCAGAGTCTCCACCATCATTTTGTCTTTCAAGGGCTGAAAACTATGACAACCAAAAATTCTACTAGAATCCAGAAGATGTTCAGTAAACATGCAACATACTTTGAAACAACGGCCTAGGAATTGATGCAGCTACAACAGGATCCATAGTGGATGGAACAGGCACCACTTTTTCTGCTGGAAGGATCTGCTCTTCAGCATACGAACCCATTGGGTCACCACCATAAGCGACGAGATCTCCAACTTTCCTGCCCGTTAGTCCAGGACCCAGGGAAGGCATCACACCAACTGCTTCCATACCTGAACTTCACATTTTTTGCAATCTTAGCTCTTAACCAATCCCCAATTCTGGATCCACACGACATTTTCATTTATAAAGTCCCTAATATGAGATTCATAGTCTGACAAAAATATGTAAGGCAGTTTGATGAAATCTGACGGGACATTTCCAGAATACTCCAAGATGAAGACACGTGTCCTCGGTACAGTTGATGTGACAGTTCCGGAATACTCCAAGATAAAGACACGTGTTCTCGGTATCACTGATCCTTATTATCGAGATCACGTACCCATCGGGTCACAAGTCCCCTCTACCCCAAGGTACTTATCATGGATCGAGTAGCATCCAATACGCTTTTATGTACCGACACATACCCTCGGTCTGATATGGTACATCGGTCGCTAGCCTCCCCTCTCGGATTCAAGATGTACCTATTCCTCGGTTTCCGAGATATACCTCTTCCTCGGCTCCGATATGTACCTCTTCCTTGGTTCTGAGATGTACCTCTTCCTCAGTATCGAGATGTACCCCCTCTTATCCAGGATGAAGTTCTCTGCTCCAGCAGAGGCTAGGCTAGGTTAGCTATCATGACCTCGTCTTACACAATTGGTGTCAGAAGGTACAGGAAGGCAGGGGCCACAACCAATGAGGAATGGACGCGTGGCATATTGTGTCACATCAGAGGCAGAAAGACCGCATGACCTTGCTGACACGCGACTTGGGAAAACAAGCATTTAAATACACCATTCCCTTGATGAGACTGCATTCAATGCGGTAAGGCTCAGAAGTGAAAGGCAATAAATGTCTCTAAGGCTGAACATTTATTGCGTCCTCCCCGAGAGGAGCTCATTGAACAGTTGGCAGCCCGATGACACAGTATTGATTGCTCGGGATCCCGAGCAGTTAAAAGAAAAAATATTCCTCATCAAAATCAGTGCGCACACTACCTGTACCTAATGATCACCTACTGACTACACTGACAGTAATCATGAGTTTTTGAGGTATAAATACTCATCACAAAAGGCATGGTATGCAACAAAAAACCTTTGCTATAATACATACTCAGTGTTTTTTTCTTCCTCTCTCTCTCAAAGACTGACTTGATCGTCGGAGGGAATACGCCAGAAAACACTCCGGCGCCCTTCTAACTTGTTCTTCTTTGTTCCAGGAACCTTTCTTCAACCTTACTGGATCGTTCCTTTGATCCACGAGGGTCTCCCATTACCGTTCCAGGTTACCACAAGATCTCACAGGCTGTTCCAAGCAGCGTGGTTGATCACTCCACTGATTCACTCGAGTTCACTAAGGGAGAGATCTGTTCTCGTTTTTATATTGTGCAAAATCTAGCACGCACAATCTGGCGCCGTCTGTGGGAAACGACTAGTTTTCCTAGTTTTTTCTCTATAAAGAACAATGACCATGGTGAATACTCGACAAAAAGGAAAAGATCCCCACCAAAGAAGTCTCGAATTACAAGCTCTCTGTCACCACGGAGGTAGGGATCACACTAATGGGAATAAAAATACCTCTACTCAGTCAAGAGGAGTTACCCCTCAAACCAGTATGGGAATCAGGTCAGGAGGATCAGCCCCTCTGGCTCGTCAACTGGCGGAGGTGATCGAGGAAAAGTTTGGCGATAGATTACGAAAGTTGAAAAAGGACAATGTGAACGTCCTAAGCCGGCTCAACGAATTTGCCGCCTCCGACGAAGGGTCGAGGGACTCATTCCTCTCTCGTGGGCTCCCCACCCGGGAGGCAGAAACGAAGGATCTAAGGAATCATCTAAACAACAAGGCAGAAAGCTCCAAGGCCCCAAAGCGATCGAGAACAAACAAACGCCCTCCTAACGACCATTCAAGGAAGGCAAGGCCGTTAGCCCTGGACGACCTCCGGCGAGGATTGTCTAGACGGAGGAAGGGAGATGAGTCCGAGGAGGATTCTACCCTATCCACACACCGCCAAGGAAATGGGGGGCCTATTGATGAACTCAAAGACTTCAGAAGACATCCCGTCAGGGAGGAAATTGATCTCAGAGCCCGGTTGGAATCCAGGAGAAAGAGTAAGGCTGTCTAGGATGAGGCCGAAGACGAGGTCATGCAAACACCCTTTACCAGGGAGATCGGAGAGATGGAGGTTTCAAGAAAGATTGTCGTGCCGAGGTTCAAAACTTATGACGGGCGGTCTGATCCCGAAGCCCATCTCAGGCAATACAAGCAGATGATGTCTCTCTATCATTCGGACCAACGATTCCTTTGCTGAGTGTTTCCTATGAGCTTGGGGGACTCTACGATGAAGTGGTTCGAGGCGCTTCCCCCCAACAGTATTGAATCATGGAAGGAATTGACGAGACAGTTCCTAGCTCGATTCATTACAGGGAGTAAGCGGCCCAAAGACGTTGGATCATTGCTAACGCTCAGACGTAGGGAATCCGAGACCCTTCGCCAGTATGTCATCCGATACTGGGAAGAGATAAATGAGGTAGAAGGCTGCTCGGAAGTCATGGCAGCGGCGTCTTTTAGGCTCGGCTTGGCGAGGGACACGGACCTGTACCGATCCCTGACCAAGAAGACTCCCTCCGATATGGGCGAGCTGATGGCCCGGATAAACAAATACTCAAGGATCGAGGACGAGATGGGAAGCAGCAAAGGCCGAACCCTCCAACCTAAGAGAAAGGAGAGGGAGCGGGAAGATACTCCCCGAAAGGGATTGCTACCCCCTCCAGGGGGTTCGTCCAAAGGAGTTCACACTATGTTCAAGGAACCCATCTTCAAGTTGCTCCATAAAATCAAGCATGAGCCGTTCTTCAAGTGGCCGCCCAGGATGCAGAGCGATCCCTCCACCCGTGATCAAAAGGTTAGGTGTTCCTATCACCGGATTTCGGACATCGCACCGAAAGCTGCAGGGCATACAAATCGTTCTTGAAAAGATTGGTCCGAGACGGATATTTGAAAGAATACATAGAGCCCAGGCCAGAAGAGAGACACACCCTTGCCCCGACCGAGGAGCCGGACAACGTCATAGATGTCATCCATGTATGTCCCCTGGATCGCCCCACGTCCAAGGAACTCGAGTCCGACCTCAAGAGGGTAGCTTTTACAAGGAAGGTAGCCGAGGATGATGGGGGGCCACCCAGTAAAAGGGCCAGGACTGGTGAGCCCAGCATCACGTTCTCCGACGCGGACTTGACAGGTAGTGACTCCTCATAACGACGCCCTCGTCTTGACCCTGAAGATAGGAAAATTCGACGTCAAAAGAGTGTTGATAGACTCTGGAAGTTCCTCGGAAGTGATGTACTCCGAGACTTTAAAACGGATGGGTCTTGGCCTCAAGGACCTCACCAAGGTCAGGACACCCCTCATCGGATTCAACGGCTCGTTCGCCCTGCCCGTAGGCAAAATCACATTGCAGTTGTCACGGGTCCCTTCGTCATCAACACCGAGTTTGTCGTAATTGATACGGACTCTCCCTACAACGTGATCATGGGGCGAACTTGGCTGCATGCGTTGGGAGCGGTGCACTCCACTTACCACCAGAAACTAAAGTTTGCCACTCTAGAAGGTATCATGGAGATCCGGGGGGACCAAGCGTCTGCAAAAAATTATTTTTATTCAGCTGTTAGAGCCGGGCGTTCACCTAAGAAAAGGGGCGAGCCCCGGAAGAGATCATGGAGAAATAGCAATCACAGTCCGGGCGTCCAGGAATGGATGACCCCCGGATAGACCCAACTGAGCGGTCGGTGGAGGACCTCCGGAAGGTGCCCTTGGTGGAGGGAGAAGAAGAAAGATATTTCTTAGTTGGGACCGCGATGCCCGCAGCCGAACAGGAGGAGATGATTGAGTTCCTAAGGGGAAATGCAGACGTGTTTGCTTGGAACGCAATGAAATGACGGGGGTAGACCCCGAGATAATCACGCACAAGCTGCATGTTGACCCAACGCACAAGCCAGTCAAACAAAAGCCAAGACGTATGGCCCCGCATCACGCCTGTGCGGTCAACGAAGAAATCGACAAACTCCTGAAGGCCAATGCCATTCGAGAGATACAGTTCCCAGAATAGCTGTCTAACACAGTTTGTGCGAAGAAGAAGGGGGAAATGGCGTGTCTGCGTAGACTTCACAGATCTAAACAAGGCATGTCCCAAGGACGACTACCTCCTACCAAAGGTGGACCAGCTAGTGGATGCCACTGCCGGATATGAACGCATGAACTTCCTGGATGCCCGAGCGGGATATCACCAGATCCCTCTCCATCCCCCAGATCAAGAAAAAATGGCGTTTCTCACTCCGAAAGGAGTTTACTGTTACAAAGTGATGCCGTTTGGACTAAAGAACGCCGGGGCGACATACCAGAGACTGATGAATCGGATGTTCAAAAAGCAGATCGGCAACACCATGGAGGTCTACATTGATGATATGCTGGTGAAGAGCAAACGAAGTTGTGATCATCTGGCAGATTTGGCAGATACCTTCTCCACCCTCAAGGAGTACGGGCTGAAGCTAAACGCGGCAAAATGCGTTTTCGGAGTGGAATCGGGTAAATTCCTCGGATATCTGATCAGCCAACGAGGAATCGAAGCTAACCCGGATCAGATTCAAGCGATCTTGGACATCCGGAGTCTCTGAACTGTCCGAGAAGTCCAAAAGCTCACGGGGATGCTAGCAGCACTAAACCGTTTCGTCTTACGCTCCTCAAACAAATGCAAACCCTTTTTCGGAGCAATCAAGAGTGATGAGAAGGATATGTGGAGCCAGGGGTGCGAAGATGCCCTGGCTGGGATCAAGGAATACCTAAGGACTCTCCCGACCTTATCCGTCCCTATCCAGGGGGAAATGCTCTTCTTGTACTTGGCCGTGTCTGAATTTGTGGTAAGCGGGGTACTCATTCGTGAGCACGAGCACCGACAGAAGCCAATTTATTACATAAGCAAGGCGCTCCTGGACGCGAAGACGAGATACCTGCCCCTAGAGAAATTGACTCTATCCTTGGTCACCACCGCAAGAAAGCTGAGGCATTATTTCC